GAGGCCCCTGGGGCTGGCCCCAGAAGCTGAGTCTGGGAGAGGGGCCAGTGCACAGAGCACCAGCCATTGCTTTGGTGTCACTCACGTCCGATCCAGAGATCAAGGTTTCTAAAAGTGCCACCGCTCGCTCTTGCAAGCCAGGGCAATGCTCCGGTCAGTGAGTTATGAATCTGCCTGGGAAAATGTGGGGTTTCAATAAACACACAAGCCCCCGAGGGTCTGAAGGCCCCAGCAACCTGAACTCTCTCCATGCCCAGCTGAGCAGAAGGAAGAGGTCATCTGAGAGCAGAGCGCAGGACAAGGTGGTTTTATTAATGATGTCGGGAACACCGCTGAGGAAACGTGTCTCTTTACAGGTTTTAAGTTGGCAGCATCACTTTAAATAAGGAAATACATTTGTCGAGAGGAGCAAACTATCTGGAAAGCCCTGTACATTTCGGCAGTGCAGCAGCTAAACTACTCTGGCTGCAAGTGCTATTAAAACTCGCCCTGGAATGGTTTCTAAAATCGCTCACTTATTAAAAAAAACTCTTTTAACAAACTGCAGTGTGAGTGTTCTAACTACCAGTGACATTTGTACACTAGAAAAGTGGCGCTTTAAATAGTGACTTTAAAAAGCGACTAACGTGTCCTTTATACAACACGCAGCAACATGATCCCTCACCCACTGGCTCCAAAAGGGCTGCAGAAGCCACATGCTTCAGCAAGGTACCTGCATGGTAGTCCCCCGGTCCCTTCGCACTGAGCTCTTCCCCAGGGATTTCCAGGCCAGTTTGCAGCCCGTCCAGCAACACAAAGATTAAGTTCACACGGGCTGCCCCTGCTCTAACTCTTTGTCAGCAGCAGTGTGTCCCATCGCAAGCCGCTGGCATGCAGTCCCGGAACAGGAGACGCGTCCCTCCAAGAGTGCACTGTGATTCCAAGGAGGCCAGAGGCTTCCTCCCGCAGCCAGGGCTGCAGCAAAGCTCCGTCACTGATCAGCCGGAGCGAGCAAGCTCCTCTCGCCTGGGGGATTCACAGCTGTTCTCTGGGTGCCCTTGCTCTGCGCCTGGCAGCTGGGGCGTGGCAGGAAACTCAGAGAAGGGAAGGCGAGGGACGGCTGGCAGGAGCTGGCAGAGGGGCACAGGTCACACAAGCCGATGGTCACATAACTCAAGCACAAGTAAGGACCAGTTGTAACCCGCTCCCCGCTGGGGGAACACCCGGCCACAAGGGGTATTTATTGCATCTGGATTTCGGTGGCTCTCCCAGTTGAGGATGAGGCGTGGCTCACCCTTGCTTTCTCATACTGCAGAGAAAAGCCCAGGGACCCCTCCAGAGCTTTGGTTTGTTCACTTCTTGATTCAATGTGCTGCCTGGCCCCTGCTGGAGCTGTATTTATCGCGTTATTCATACCACACAACAGCCGCAGCAGTGCGTCCGGGTCTTCCCGTAGCTCTGAGCAGCCTTAGCAGCTGGGGCCTGCCTTGTGGTTAAATCAGAAACCGGCTGTGCAGCATGGCATGCGCCTTGGCTGTCGCTCCCCAGGGGTGACATGCATGTGAATTCTGGCACCTCTCTGGGCTATGGGTGCTTGGCTCCAAAGCCATTTTCCATCCATGACTACTTGGGATGGAGACAGGCAGCCAGGTGGGAGGACCGGGTGCACCGTGCAGTGTGTTTGGTCTGGGCTGAGCAGAGAGCCGGGCACTCGCTGCCCATAAGACTCCTGCCCAAACGGGGCCGCTCTCCATGGCCGTGCAGTATTTCTCAAAGGAGATGAGGCGGCAGCGAGTAGCCTTGGACCCTTCCTGCCAGGCATGGTCTCCTTGCCACACGCTGTCACGAGCTGCTCCAGTTCTCGTGAATGGCTGCGCACGCTGGAAATGCAGCAACGTGCTGGGGAGAGACAGCTCGGTTTTGAAGGCGCCAGTAGCCGTGCAGGCGTGAGAGAGTCGGAGTCCTTGTGCTGACAAGTCTCAGCCACTGGAAAAGGGCAGAAATCATGTCCTGGGACAGACTCCAGGTTCCCTGCTGGGTATCCGGCATAAGGAAGCACTTGTGGTGGGCGGCTTTGGCGGCACAGCACCCAGGCAGCGTCTCTGCCTCTGCTCCCCTCACCACTGCTGCAAATGGAGGTCCATGGTGGGGTTTAAGCTGAGGTCGCTGACGTCTAGGAAATCGATATTGAAAAGGCTGGGCCCCGTGGTGGCGAGAGAGCCAAAGCCAGTGGCTGAGCTGGGGGGGGGGAGATCCAGCCCCCCCCTCGTCCTGCTGGGTATCCGGCATAAGGAAGCAGTTGTGGTGGGCGGCTTTGGCGGCACAGCACCCAGGCAGCGTCTCTGCCTCTGCTCCCCTCACCACTGCTGCAAATGGAGGTCCATGGTGGGGTTTAAGCTGAGGTCGCTGACGTCTAGGAAATCGATATTGAAAAGGCTGGGCCCCGTGGTGGCGAGAGAGCCAAAGCCAGTGGCTGAGCGGGGGGGGGGGGGGGGGGTGAGCCCCAGCCACTCCATCGTCTCCCAGGGTGATTCAGTGAAACTCATTTGTAAGCCAGAGCCCTCTGGAGAGGGCGAGAGCTGGGTCTCCATGGGCGAGAGGGGAATCTCCTGCGCTGTCAGAAGTTCATCTGCCACTTTGCTGGAAAACCCGTCCATCAGCCCTTCGAAGTGCGGCTCCTCGCCGCCCAGTTTCAGGAGGGAGAGTTCGCTGACCCTCCCCAGGGGACTCTGGGAATTTAGCAGGACTTCGAGATGGGCGTCGCCGCTGCCTGTGCCGTGGTCGTAGGAGAGCTGGGCTGAGGGCAGGTGTTCAAATGGAGCAGAGGCCTTGGGAAGTGGCGCGCCGGCGTTGCCTGAGGACACTGTGATCTGAGGTACTTTGTGGAGGCAGGAACGATCTTCCTTGGCATTGGCTGGCATTTCTGTTTGCAAGAGGAAATGGGGAGGTTAGGCCCAAGCCTTGTGCACTGGCCACATCCTTGGAACCGTCTGCTTCCCCTCAGTTACCCACCACTCTGCTCTGCTCAGTCTCCCCCCAGCCTTCTGCGGGCAGAGCCGGATGCCTTCCAACAGTCTCCCTCCCCTCCACCAGCTCCCTTTTCTCCCACTCATCACACCCAGACTGCTTGTCTTCAATTGCAAGGCCCATCTTGGCTGAGGCCTGTGTTACTTCTCTTATCTGCAGCTGCGCTATGGCCAAAAGCACCAGCCTCCATTGCCTGGGAGTTGGATTTTCCTTCCCCCCTTGCTCCAGGCACGGGAGTTCTCCAGAGACCCAGCACATGGTCCTCCTGCAGCTGCCCGCTTGCAAGAGGCCTGTGCTGAGAGGCCTCGTTAGCTCTCGGCAGCGCTGGGGGTTCTGCTGCTGACACGGACGAGCGCGGTCTCACTGCTGAGAGGACAGCAGCCTGGGGAGCGCGTGGCATGGAGGACGGGCCACGGGACTCTCAGGCAGGGGGTGTCTCGGTCACAGGATTGCTCTGACCCTTTGTGAACCGGACACCTGGGCCCGGGGCTTTCTTGTCAACTTGCCCAACACGCGGCATGGCCTGATTTGTCCCTGGCATCCGTGGGCTCAGCTACCCACAGCCCGCTGCTGTCGGCAACACCTGGGACCTAGAGCCAGCTCAGGAGCCAGGCTCCGGAGCTGCTTGGAAGGCTCAGTTATCTAGTAGGGAAGCAGCTGAGAGGTGAGCCCCCGTGATGCGTTCCTGATGGGCAACGGCAGAGGGGCAGCGTGGCACTGCCCCCGTATTGCTCACGGCAAGGTGAGTCAGGTGCGATTGTGACGCAGTTGTGGTGTGTTTCATGCAAGGTAAGTCATGCGCGGTGTCACTGAAAAGGGGATGATTTGCTGTTTGTTGGCCTGTCTCACTGTTGTGTCCCCACCCAGACGTGGTAGTGAACGTGCAGGCTGGAGCCTGGAGCATGGCAGAGCGGCACAGGGTGTGATGGAGGGCCTGGGTTGGAGGGTATTGTGGGGGGCACCCTTCACAGTGGTGCAGCAAGCAGGGCCATATACACAGCTTGTTGCACTGAGAGGTTTGCACTTCGCACACTGGTGGTGATGTTTGGTGTGGTGGCTAGAGATCAGCCACAGTTACTGGTCTGCTTATCTGGGGAAAGAGAAGGATGGACACAGACGTGTCTGCTGCACATGGCTCCTGTGACACGCAGAGTCGAATGTCGAAGCTTTAAGGGGGAGCCTGGGAGGAGAAACGTGGTACGTGTGAGCACAAGAGTGGCCAGACTGGGTCAGACCCAAGGGCCCTCTAGCCCCGTGTCCTGCCTTCCCACAGGGGCCAGTGCCAGGAGACCCAGAGGAAGAGCAGCTGGGTAAGCTGGGAAGGGGTAAGGTATTACGAGCACTGAAGACGCGCGTGATCTTGTTCATGCAGTGACGATGGGAAACTGTCTGCAAGGGGCAAAAGGGTGAAAACGGGAGGAATCTGCTCATGCAGCTGATGCTTTTGAACAAGCACTAGCATCTCTTAGACATAGGTGACCGCCTGAGGGCTCTGAGCCTGGTGAGAAGCAGGGTCCCTGTGTGACCCGGGAAGGAGGGTGGGTGGGGGGTTGGGCTCTTGCCGAGGGGCCCAGCGGGTCTGTCCCTGCAATGCCAAGAGCAGCTGAGGAATCCCTGCCCTCTGCTGGGTGGGAACAGGCAGCACTGCTCCCCGAGGTGCAGAGGGGCAATTCCCACGCCTGGCGCGGGTTTGCAAGGGCCGCCTGTGCGCCGTGCAAGGCTCCAGCACTCACGGCCAGGAGAACCTCTGGGGCGGGACACAGGTGCAGAAGTGTCGGGTCAGACACTCAGCAGACGCTGCCACGACAGGTGGCAGAGCTTCTGTTAGCAAGTGCTCACGTGTGTGTCTGGCCAGGGCACCTGGAAACGGAGGGTTTGGAAAGTGCTGCCGGTGGTGGCTGTGGGACCCAATAACTCGTCCCAGTTCCTCCTTGGGACTTGAGCCGTGAAGGGACATGTCTGCGGCCAGGAGGAACACGGGGCTGGAGTCTCCGGAACTGCTGGCCGAACGGGAGCGGGGCGCTAGTTCCTCTGTGGCAGTGGGACAGTGTGTGCGGAAGGGCCGCCTCTTTGGGCTCTAGGGCTAACCAGGCCCGTTTCCATTGCCCCCTTTACACCGCTGAAATCTCCCTCTTGCTTCCTAACCCCGGGAGATGCTCGGCGGGTCTCGGGGCTGCCATGCTGAGCCAAGCGCGAGTTGGTAATTGAATCCGAGGCTGGTGAGCAGTTTCTCTGGAGATCTCTGGCGATTTCTGGGAGTGGGCAACGGCTGGGGCTGGGTGCTCGGAGTTGGGGTGCCCCAGGGCTTGCCTAGAGGGCAGAGTAAGGGCTGTCAGAGTCCTGGGAAGGCTGCCAACTTAGCACCAGCACATCTCCCTCTGACTGGGCAAAACGGGTCACAGGGTGACTAACAGTTCTGGGCCTCAAAGAAGTGTCGCGGTGTCCATGTACTGCATGGGGGGGGCACAGAGCTCTGTGGGAGGCAGCCATGGGTGGAG